TTGAGATCTTCTGTTGCTAATGAGGTGACAATCTGTAGGTAGCATCCATGTTTTACAACTTTATTTTAAACGATTACCTGGAACATTAGTGACTTTCGTGTGCCTTTACTGTGACCTCATAACTGAGGTACTAAAACGTGAATTTTGTGCTCCGCTAGTTGAAGGCAAATTCCATTGAAGACATCACATGACCTGGATTTGCTGTTTTAAAGAGCCTATATTTTGCTTTTTCACTTTTCTTTAGTGTGTTAAATAGTTTTTTTGTGCATGTAAAAGGTCTGTTAACTTACAAAACCAAAGTTAGTTTTGCTCCTTACCAGCCTGAAACGCCTCGTTTGAAGTCAGGCTGTTCCGCTGTGACTTATTTACATCACCATGTACCACATTAGCATAATGCCTGCCTAGTGGCTCATCTAGCGTTTCAAAAACGACGAATAAGCAGCTTCCTCAAAATCTGCTATTATTTCCTCGCTAGAACTTGAGCTGTGTCCCAAATGCTCAGACTCAACTTTTCCTGTCAAGCCAGCTGACCAATCAGAGCAGACTGGGCCTTAAAGGAGGGGGCCTTTAAAGAGACAGTAGCCAAAACAGCTTGTTTCATACAGAGGGTGAGGAAAGGTGTTGTAGCTAAATAAATAAATGATAAGATAAATGAATGTTTTTATTAAAAATGAAAGAATGTAAACCCATTCTAGTAGACCCCAAAAATAAAATTAGGAATGCGTTAATGTGCATGGTGTGGGCCCTTTAAAGTGCCATTAACATAGTGCATTCGCGTGCTAAGATTTGTGAGTTCGTATGAGGCCGATGAGAATGTCATGTTTTTGAAAAGAATATAAAAATATTGCTCAAAATTTGACCTTCCATTGGAGGAAATTGACAAATCGGGGAGTCACAAACTATCAAGGTCCGTACAAGATTTCCTGGCGATATTTTCAAAAATTGTTGCGCTATTATTGGGCACTTTGCTCATGTGTGATTAGAAACTCAACCCTGGGATCTTTTATGTTGCCAAACCTGCTTTTAAGCTCACTCTGAAGCAGCTTTTACACTCCAAAGTCCACAGTCAAGTTTCCAGGACTCCAGGACTGTATTTTTAAGAATACATATATATATATATATAATTTTGCAAGGTATTGAGTGCATTCATCACTTGCCTCATACTGTTTCTCCCTTTTGTCTCTGTCTTTTCCCACTTCTGTTTTCTCGGCTTTATCATCATCCACAGTTGTTTGCTTCCTTCGGCCACTCTGTGTCACTGCTTGATGTTTAAAATAATCAAAAGTCTTTTGTCTCCATTGAGTGTGCGCTCTTTTAAACTCACCCACCCCTCTGCGAGCCAGTCTTACCCTGCATGCTTTTAGAGCAGCTTAAGTGGTTGAGTGGACATGGAATTGGAGATAGAAGCAGAGGCCGCCTCTATTTGTCTGGCTTCTTTTTTTTTTCGAGCTGCTTGCTACTGAGAAGTGACTGACTCGCACAATAAGAGAACGGTGGAAGAAATTATAACGGGATGCATGAGTGGAATATTCAGCCGTTACTTAAGAACTTATGAGGTTAAGGGTATTTATTTGACGTGCAAGAGAAATCCCTTTTCTCTGGTAGTTTATTTCTCGAGATGAGTTTGCGTAAGTTCCACGAGATGCTTTGTGTAGCGTGTGGACAAAAAGTCGAAGAGCTGACGCATGCGTGCGAATGTCCGCCTTAAGGCCTTTCCCCCCCTCTGCTCCTATAAGCGCCATTATTGCCACCTACCCCTTGGCAGTTGTAATAGGGTGAGTTATTTTTACCTCTAATGCCTTTCCTTCCTCTCTCCATCCCTCCTTCCCTCCATCCTTGGTGAATTAATTGGAGAGGGCAGGAGGCCACGGCACATATTGGGTAGGTAACGAGTGGCGAGGGCTGGACGGCCGCTAACACCCGACTCTCTAATTGGCTGCCTGAGAGGGATGAGGGTCATTAGGTATAGGTGACTGCTTTGCCCTCTCAGCACAGTCATGCACATACATTCAGACAGGCGGGAACGCTCATGCGCGTATGTACACATGCACGCAAGATTTCCTCCTCCATATATCCTCCCCGGGTGTAAAGCAGAGCAATTTTCCCAGGAATACATGTAAGTCATTTGTCCTTCTGTGTTTGAATTACAGCCGTGTGTTGCCTTGAGATCCTCGGCCCCCCCGAACCGAGCAACAATGAGCTCCGGATGAGGTTGCTTTCTACTCCGTCAACCCCCACACTCTCATTATCGCGTCATGCATCTTCAAACCTCTGAACACACTGAACTTAAAAGAGCAATGACTGTACGTGGTTATAATTGATAGGATGGAAAGGCGAGTTTCTGCTGCCCCGAAGCCCCTCACATCAAAAGTTTTAGCTCAATTAGGACCTGGCCATACGGTGGATCCACTAGTCTCACTCAAACATTATCTTCCTCTGTCTCTTATGTCATCCCCTTCTGAGATCAGAGTGCCTTAATTACTCGTTTCACAGGATCTGAGTTCTGATTCATTGTCCTCTTTTTTTTCTTTTAAAAGAATGATTGCGCAGAATTGTTCAGAATAATAGCCACCGTACTCCTCTAAATTAGTTTGAAGTGGTCTAATTGGAGGCCGATCGTGGTCGAATTAAGATTTTGACGACATTAGCCCCAATTGAACCAGCCCACACAATAGCAACAGATCAGGCTGGGAGATTCAGCAAATATTTAAGCAACTTCCATCTCGCAATCTGCAAAAAATTTGGCCGGCTCGGGGAAGTTTGTTGCTAATTATTCTGCGAGAGAGAGATGGCAGGGCTCTCCTTCACGTACATAAACACTTCTTTGCCCTGCTACGCCATGTATTTTACCAAAAAAATGGGAAAAAAAAGCGGCTAATCAACGGGGACGGTGTCAATTTCCGTCTTTGTTTGGTGTAATTAGCGTAAATTGTTTTCGCTGGTGAAGGAAACACATATGATTTATAGCTGGCACGGCGCGGCGGCGGCGGCGGCGTTCAGGGCTCCTCGCTTAAAGCAGTGTTTTGTGAAGCGCTGTTTGAGAACTATTGGCATAGACAGTGTTTTGCTTTTTCCACACACACACACACACACTCTCACACTGTCAACTGCTCAGCTGACCCCTCACCTGTCTCACCCACTCTCACTGAGGATTACCAAGACCTCCTCTCACTTCTACCTTCTCCCTCCTTCCCCTTCCTTTTGTGTTCTCGCTCTCTTTGTCTCCCCATCTTTTGAGTCACATTTGCTGGCTTTGTCTGCAGTGATAGAGCAGAGAGTGTGTGTGTTTTTTTTTTTTTGTAGTGTAATGTCGAATGTTACTTCTTTCTCTCTCTTTTGGTCTGTTTTGATGTTTTGCTTATATGTGTGGGTGTAGGTGCACTTGTTCCGTCTTGCCGTCTGTTTTTCTGTCTCGGCTCAGAGCTCTAGGCTATAGAAAATGGTCTAAACTGCTGTGAGTGTTGAGGGTGAACCGAAGAAGGGAGGGGCACGGTGCAATGCAGAGTTACAGTACAACTTAGAAAAACTGCGCCTCTGAATCTAACCCCTATTTCTGAAATGGGTCTCAGAAAACATTGAGACTGAAAGCTTGGGTTGGTTTGGATTCCCCAGATGCACCTTTTGGCTTTTACAGAGCTTTGCCGTTAATACGCAGGTATACACACTTCTCAGCACAGCCTCTCTTTTCCTTTCCGTCTCCCTTTAACACTCACGCGCGTCACATTTGTGCGTCATAACTGGTCGCTGTGCCGTCGGTCTGTCGCAAACTATTTTCAGCAGGCCTCTCTAACACGTCTACCTTGATATCCGGTGCCATTTTTTAATGATAAAAAAAAAAAAAGGGAAAAAATATCCGCGGAAAACAAGGCAGCAGAGGCTGTGACTGTCCGTGCACTGTCTCACTTCGGGGTTTGTTGCTTGTCATTACACCGACTGACATTCAAGCCACGTCTGAGAAACAAGTTGTGACTTTAATGAGTCGACCTGTTGATCTCACCTTATTAGGGAGGGTCTCTAATTTGGCCGAGAAGGGCTTCACATAGTGTCTGGTGACGGACCCTAACATTTGCGGTACCCTTTGGGGGAATAATTTTACATTTTTTCTAGATTAATTTTGAACCGTTGTATACATCCATGCTTTGATAATTGGTGAATGAAAATAAGAGTGTGTTAGTGCGAGCAAACGGTTCTACAATATGTTTCAGGAGTAGTTTGATCATTTGGGAAACACATTTGTTTGATTTCGTGGCAAGATTTTGTTAAAAAAAAAAGATTGTGAGCACTTGCATGTGTATGCATTAAACATGGCGCTAATGCTAATAGTGGTTGACATTAGCTTAGCAACAGCTAGTTAGCTCAGTGCAATTTTTAATTAAAAGCTAATTCAATATGTCCTGTTTTGTCCTACATTTCTAATATTTAATTATTTTAGAAGTTTGCTTGCGGGCAAAGAATTAGCTGAGAAGATATCACTTTCATGTATTTGTGCTAACGTCATGAGGCGTTAGCATAACAACAGCTAGCGGCTAAACTCTGCCCATATTTGATAACAAAAAAAAAAGAAGTTCAATATAGGGTGTTTTGTGCTACATTTGAGCAGTAGCAGTTTTATATTTTTAGAAAAAAACAGCATATTTCCTCCTTTGGCAGGATGTAGCTAACAGTTCATGCTCGCGTGCTAAATATGGCACAAATGTGAGATATATGCAAAATTGAAAAGTGACACGTCTGTGGTTTTACAATGTGTCAAGAGCTGTAAGTGTTTCTTGGTGAACGGCAGCGTTTTAAAACCATGCTTGCTTCTAGCTTCCAGGGTTAATGCTAAGCTAGGCTAACCACTGCCTCCATCCTCAGCAGTCAGACTTGAAACCAATAATGACTCTTACCAAGGAAGTGTATAAACCTGTATAATATGCCAAACATTTCTTTTTAGAGCTGGAAAAAAGATGTTTTAAATATAATATTTACTCACCGCCATCTCCCTGTATGTTTTTTTTCAGGACTTTAAAGCCGGGCTGGCTATTGCTGAAGTGGAACTGACTGCTGCCAATATTAAAGACGCTGACCGCAGGGGCTTCGAAATCAACACACCCTTCAAAAACTTCTGGTATGTCTGCCCTTCATTTGTGTTTGTGCATGGCGTATGGATGTTTGTACTGTACAGAACCTTGGCCATGTATCTCTGCCTGTGTGTTTTGCGTCGCTTTTTCCCCACAACAAAAAGCTATTATATGTGTGTGAGAGAGAAAAGCGCACATCTGTTTGATCTCACACCTCTCCTACTTTAACATTAACTCCATTTCTTATTGCTTTTTCATCCCCTCCCCGCCCAAAGATGAACGTTAAACGAAGGAATCTCTCTTTCAACACAGACCCTTCAGAGTAAAGTTTCCAACAGGTTGACACAGTCGTGCACCTCCGAGTTTGTTTAAAACCTTTTCCGCAGGTGGCAGCTGAATGTCAAGACATCGTTCATATTCTCCTCCAAAAACAAATCCTGCTGGATTATCGTTTAATTCCGCCCGTATAGTTTCGGAAATGCCGTTCACATGCGCTAAGCCTCTTGTTACAGTGTGTTTTAATCTGAATAATCATATCTCATAAGGCATCCGAAATCGCAGCTACAGCAAGGGCGAGCATTTTGGTTAATCTGGTCTTAAACGTGTAAGGTATTAAGAGTCTCATAGCACGATGGGGGACTTGTGCTAAAAGAATATTCACACTGAGGTAGAGGATTCATTCGGTTCACCAGTACGTGCTGCGAAGGCTTGGAAATTCCTCCTAATGAGATGTAACTGTGTGGGAAAATGTTAATGATTAATTAATTTGTTTGTGGTACCTTCAGCTTGAGCATCTGCCTCCTTTGCTTACCTTCTTTCCTGTGAAATGAGCAAATATACATACATCTCTCTGATAATTATCACCAAAAAGCAAACAATCAAAGGGATAAAAGTGCTTTAAATGCAATTGGATAAACTTTCTTTGCTCCCTTGGTTTGGTGTTTCTTATTTGTGGGGCGTATATCTTTTATTTTCTTTCTTGCCCATGTTGTAAATGAGACCTTTCTTCTGACGCTCCCAGACATTTAAGCTCTTGCAGCGCTGTTACATGTGTCATTGATCCACTGAGCCACCGTGTGAGTCACCATGAGGTGAGGTGTGAATGGGTGTTAAAGTGTCTGGGGAGGGATATCAGGACTGCATTGTAAGTGACTGATAAGAGGGGTCACTAACCACCTCCTGGGCTTAGTGATGGTTGTTCTGGTTTGACATCAGTGGGTTAGTTTAACTTCTCTTTTGAACCATCTGTCTTCTCTGTCCAAAATGCCATATACTTCTTCTTTAAGTTCCTCCGTGTACAGGTCTTTGCATTGGATTGCGTACAGTATATTGCTCTATCTAGTTGTTTTCTCCTTCGTGCACACTTGGATGTGTGTTGAGGATTCTCCTGAGTTTTTTTTCCAGTGGTTGATTGTTCTTTTCCTCCCCGCCTGTTGTGTGTCTTTCTGCGGTTTTGACAAAGGCTAACCACATGTTTTAAGTGCCTCTCTTGATGTGTTTGTGCTGCCTCTTCTTCCCTTCTGTCCTTGCGGGCACATTCTGATCCCAATGGTGTAGGACTCTGATAACCCCCAGCTTGTGCACCAGTGGGCGGCGAGAATCAAATAATAGTTATTGATCAGCGTGTGGGGGTGTTTCTGTACACTTCAGTGCTGAGGATTTTGACATTTTCAGTGTGCAGCGCACAGTCCAACAAGGCCAGACTGACATCCTCCTGGGAAAACTTGATGTTGCTGTCCATTTCGTTTATGTGTTCTGTGAAGGCTTCCACTTCCTGTGTTTTCATTCTGACCCAGGTGTCACCCACGTAGGTACACCAATGGGAGGGAGCTGTTCCCACCAAAGACATCTGGGCTTTGCTCTCAACATTTTTCATATAAAGATTGGCCCATTTTTGAAGACGCCTGTGAACCCATCGCACAGCCGTGCTTCTATCTGTGGAGATCTTCATTTATAAAGAAGGAGGCGGTGGTTGGGTAGAATCTGAGCAGCACATGTGTGGTCTGGGTTGAGGTTCATTTTGCTGGACAGAGTGCTGTCCTGTAGCAGTTTCCAAATAAAAAAATTTGCAATAGTTTCATCTGAGTCCAGTTTTATTTTTCGAACATTGTGTGAAAATCTCCTCGGATGTGCTGTCGGGTGTTATCAAAAAGAAGAGCTACGATGGTGGATAGATGTTTGGCAATGTTGTAGGGCAGGGGTGTCGAATCCTGGTCCTCGAAGGTCCTCAGCTCATCATCAAGCTCTGCAGAAACCTGATAACGATCCTGATCATTTGAATCAGGTGTGTTGGAAGAGGGAAACATCTGAAACATGCAGGATTGCGGCCCTCGAGGACCAGGATTCAACACCCCTGTTGTAGGGAAAGGAGAGTATACGACTGATCATGGCTCAGCTTGGGGCTTCTGCCTTATGTATCTTAGACAGTCTATAAATGCAAAGGGTGCCTCTCCAGGGTGTGTTATAGTCCATGTTTCCAGCTGTTACAGGAAGTTTATGACCTTGTTCTTGTAGCTGCTGGTAGGAACTCACCCAAGTGTCTCATGTTGGCCCTGCCACCGAGAAGACTTGCTACCTTGGCATCCACTCTGTTTAGCACAACTTTGCATCTTCCTTCGTTGACCGTCGACTCTTGAGTTGTGAGAAAGTGGCGATTGTGGCTGTTCCCTTTAATCGTTTCAACTCTGTATCTGCTCAATAGTTGTTTCTGTTTGTTTGGGAACTGGTTCCAGTTGCAGTTTGTTTGCGACGTGAAGGCAAATCAGATCAACCCACAGGTTTTTTTGTAATTGCAGATGCAACATTTTAGCAAGCATTCAACCGCTAAATCACTATTAAGTTCGACTGCTGATAATTGGAACTGTTAGGGAAGTCATCTGTATCGGCAGTCTTTGCAAGGTCATTTAATAACTCTGGTAATATATGCGAGTCAGCATGTTCGGGGATTTATCCTGATTAATTAGAGAGTGAAAATGATTGAAAACAAAAGTGTCAGGTCTCTACTCCTTATATAAGTGCAGCTCCGAAATAAAAAAAAAGTTTTTGCAGTCTCACCCATAAAAAAATGAAAAGTAAAAAAAGGTATTAATGAACTTTTGAAACTTCCTGTTGGTGCTGCAAATACTGGATAATGACAGAAATATAAGCAGGTACAGCAACAGGTGTGCTATAAAACATACCAAAAGCACCGATTGAGAAACCGCAGAGTAAAGACAGACAACGTAAATTGTGCACAGATTTCGGAGTACAAATCTGTAATTTAATCAGAACACAACATATCATCAAAAATGTTTCTACCTTAATAAAACCCATTATTGTTTGCAAATTGTGATGTTGGTGCAATGGTCCATCCACACCATTGACAAAGTGTCAGGTGTCTTTACCTTTAAGAATGTCAATGTTACACCCTTGAAAAGAGGAATAATGAGGACAAGACACGAGGTGGTGTTACTTCTTCACGTCCAGTCTTGTAATGGACGAGCAGGAGCAACACGGTTCTCTACGTGAACTCAGGCATACCCAATCGATTCCCGATTAGCAGGCAAAAACTCTTAAAACATAAATTCTGGGGGAAATAATCCACCAAAACAAGGCAAAACAATAAATGAGCAAAAGAACATCCAAACAACGACAACTCGGTACTGCGCCAACACGTCACTTTATAACTTTTCAGCTTGAAGACCAAAATAATCGATAGCGGATCAATCAATCAATCAATCTGCTCGTTTTTCCTTTTTGAAGTGCCAATATGAACCAAAGCAAATCACTTCCCTTTCTCGCCTCAACACAGAATTACATGTCATGTTTCCCCTGACTTTTAAACAATTAACATTTTTTATGACCATTACATCAACATCTAACCTTGTGCCTGTGTGTTAGCACAGTTATAGTTTTGTTTGTATCAATTTAGGCATCAGGAATCGTGGAATTTCAAATACATTGGTATGGACTGACAAGTTTCTAGTATCGTTATGTCCCCCCATTTTCACCGATAATGATCAGAATCAGTTTTGAGCTCTTTCTGACGGAAGAGAGAAATCAACTTGCACAGCGTTAAAAAGAAAAATTAAATCATTTTTAAGTAACGAGGTCTCTACCTTATCAATGTGAATATCTGCTGGTTGTGCCGACCTTGGCTGATAGTGAACTGAATATTTTTTGGGTTTTAAAAAATTACACAAACAAAACAACAAATTGAATAACTTGCATTGGCGTCTGGGAATTGTGAGGACATTTTATAGATCAAACAGTTAACCGTGTAAGTGGCAGATGGATCAATAGTGGAAGAATCATTATTCCGAGAGCTGCACGGGTTGTCACCAGAATTGAATTTGGCCATTCATGTGGCGGGGCGGCTCGGTGGGGACGGTTAGGACGCCTGGGATCTTTCTATGTGGAGTTGCATGTTCTCCCCAGGTTCTTCCTGCTGAGATGAATTGGTGATTCTAAATTGTCTGTAGGTGTGAATGTAAGTGTGCTTTGTTGTCTGTCTCCCCCCCGCCTTCACCCGGCTGGGGTAGACTCCAGCCCCTTGGCGACGAGGATTAAGCGGTGTATAGATAATGGATGGATGGATGGATGGATGGATGGTTCATGTAGCAATACTACAAGAACAACGGCAGAATTTCATCACCAAAAAGCGTCCAATCATTAAGTTACCTGTCAGTGCATGTGACCCAATTTGAATACTTTCTGGTTTGTTTGTGGCACCAAAAGCCCAAATTTCCTGATTTCTTTTTTTGTTTTCTCTCCAGATCAGCTAAGCCCAACATGAACACAACCTTATAGAAAACAACTTTGATTGTCAATCACCAGGAAACAAATTGATGCACCTTTACCTATTACAAAAACAAAAGGGAGTATGTGCTTTCCTTTGTGGTGTCACTTGTACAACTAATGAGCAGGCATGTCTCAAAGTTAAGCTCAGCTCTAATGAGACAAAAGAAAGTCTTCCCCCTTAAGTTTGCTTTTCAAAAAGCACTTTGTGAGTCGCTTCACCCACCACACACCTCATAGACTTATTGATCATCGCTGTGTGCGCCAAACA